ACATTAAAACACAGAAAAAGATCTGAACACATAAATAGCCAAATTAAAAAAATATAATAGTTGTAAGCTTAATTAAGAAAAGTAGGAAAACTCTTGCAGATCACTAGTAAAAAAGAAATCATCATGAGAAACTATCATGAAATATGTGGACAAGTAGGGAGAAAATGCTCTCAAAATCAACCAAGAAGCATTCAAAATAGTACAATGGCTTCTAAGACCAGAAATTTTACCAAATGAAAGAGAAGTTCAAGAAGTTCCTATTATAACTTGAATATCGAAATTATTAATAAGCAAGAAAATAAAAGAGAATCTTATAGAAAAGAATGCAGAAATGAAAAAAAGCTCACCTTTGTCTCAAATGATATTTTATATTGATAGATCTCTCAGATGTGGAAATACAACTACACAGAATGAACTAGCTAAAATGGGAGCTAGCTAGATACAAGTTAATGAGACCGAAAACTAAAAGATAAATGAAGGCTTTTTCAAAACAAGAAATTGGCCTTCAATGATGAAAGCGGAACTACTCAGAATTTGGTATGTACTTCTCTTGGTACCAAGAAAAAGAAGGGTAAAAATTTATACAGACAGTGTAGTAGCGATAGAAAGTATAGAAAAAAAGAGAAAAAAGAAAGCAATGTGCCAATTTTTCAAAGAGAAGAATTATAGTTTAGTAAATAGTATAGTTGTCATAATTAGGATTAAAGAAATGCAGCTAGAATTAGTAAAGATTAAAGGTCATAGTAATAATAGATGAAATGATTTGGTAGATAAATTAGCGAAGTTAGATTCTAAAATAGATAATAAGAAGAACATAGTAGAAAAACCTCCCAAGAGTCAAATGTCTCTCTGTGTTAGAAAGACAAAATAGTTAAAGAACCTTCAAAACAATTTATCTAAACAGTCTTTTGTTTTTAAACAAGTTTAGACTAGAGAACATCATTTGCAATACAAAAAGAAGAACTAAACAACACACCCAAAACAAATCACTAGCTGATTCTGTTAAGAAAAATTAGAAGTCAAAATGGAAGCAAATATACCAGCTCAAAGAAGAACCAATAGCTAGAGATACTAATCAAGTGTCTATATGAAAAATTATCAGTGTTTAAAATCTTGGCTACCAGAAGACCAGATCTATATAAAAACCCCTTCTGTGTACTTTGCGAGAAAAATAAAGAAAAAGACCAAGCCCATTTAATGAAATGTAAGAAGTATAAAAAAAAATAGACTGAATTAGAACAAACTGTATAAATATAGCCTGGGCAGTCCTATCTACAGAAACAAGAAGTTAGCTTAGTAAAGTCCAACTCAAGAACACTTTATGGGGTCTAACAAGAGAAGAAAGGATCAGAACAAGAGCTGGCATTCTCAAGGGTTTAATTCAGGAAGAAGTCTTCAGAAAACTACTCAATATTATAAAGCTGCTAAAAGAAGCAATAAATTATTTGAAAATGGCAATGAATTTAGCATGGAATTTTTTTATAAGAATATTTGGAAGCAAAGATGTTTAGCCATCAACAAATAGAAAAAGTAGAAGACATAGATACTAAGAAGAAAAGAAGATAGAATCTGAAAGCAGAAAGCTCGGGCCTCAACACAAAGCAGTTGAGTAAGATTATAAGCCTTATCTGGTGAAGCAGACTGCTCTTAAGTATCTCTAGGAGTAGCCAAGAGATGTCAGATCTGTAGCTTAGATAGTTAATATATATATATATATGCTTTGATCTAATAAAGATACTGGCGAGGCTGCCGACAAGTTAAAAAAAAAATATATGATAATCTCATATAAAGTATTCTAAAATTTTCTTTGCCTCTTTTTCTTTTATTTGTTTTCTTTATATATATTTATCATTCTAATTTTACTATTTATTGATATATATATTTATATTTACAGTATTTTTTTAAAAGCTTGTATATATATAAGTCTAGTTACTATACATAAAATTTACAAACAAAGAAATCATATAAGTATTAATTATACATTATACCATATATGGGCTTAGTACTAAAAAAAAAGGTTGAAATTGGTCAGAAAAAAGGTTTAATTTTATATTATGAATTTTATAATAAATTATAAAAAATAAAAGCTTTAAAAAATTATACTGCAAAATTTTATTAAGATAATAGCATTTAGTTTCTTAAGTAAAAAATTTTTTAGATTAATTTTAAATTAATTAAGATCAAAATATTTGTTTAAAAAATTGTCAAATTGGTCCCTTTTCTCAGCACCAAGTTCATATTTAAAAAAAAACCTCTTTCAGATATATATTATATATATATTCCATTCACCTGCTTTTCTTTCGCCTTTATGTTTGAGAATATGAATTAGTTTTAATATTCTCAACCTATTGGATATTCTATAGAATAGGTGAGCAAAATAAGAAATAAGCTTCGCTAATAATTAGTAATCATTAATTTTTTAATATCAGAATTGTGAAGTTTGCAGAGTTTGCCTACCTATTCTACAGAACATCTGACCTGTTTTCGTATTCATGCTCTTTTATTTACTATCTGCAAAAAAAAAAAAGTTAATTGAATAACGAATATATTCAGAAAATTAGTAATTTCAATCATCCATTTGATTATGAAGAGAGAGACAAAAGTTAGTAAAGGTCTATGCAAAATATCTAATAAAAATAAAAATATTTCTTCAATACCTCTCTAAAAATAATACAATACAATTAATAATATACCTGAATCAAAATCTTGTAATAGATGAAAGTTTAAGCTTAAAACAAAATAGAACCTTATTAGCATAAATTTAAAGCTAATGGAACATTTGAGATGAAAAAAAAAATCAAGAATTAGGAGAAAACATCAAAATGAAATATGCTCTAATCTTGAACAAGAAGAAGGCACAGTAGATTCATCCTCTCAACTTTTGAATATGGCTACTTTATCTAATTTTTTAGTGATCACTATTTGCAGAAGATTCTCAAGAATTTGAAACTGCCGAACCAATATTTGACCAAAATTTAGATGTATATTATAGCAACGACTTTGTTATTCCATTTCAAGATAATGATTTTGAGTTTTACCATCACAAAGCTTATTTATGTATGATATGTAAAGATTATCGAATTTTTGATTACAGTCGATACTGTCTAATTGCATATACTCTTTAAATGCATAAAAAATTTTGGTTTTTAATTATTAACACAAAAATGGTTCTTATAACTTAAATGCATATGCTGTCTATATGCATAAAAAAGTCTCTAACTATCGACTATATTATGAATTCGAATTATATTTATTGTTACATTCTTGACACATACACATTCATACCTGTATCTAAACTTAGTACAAAACAAAGTTTTCCTTCTCATTACGTGTATCCTGGTATTCATTATTTATTTATTATAGATTTTTATTCTCATATATATATTGTTGACGTCTTCATATTCATAATACTTATTTTACAAAAGCTGTCAGCAATTTATGCCGTTAGAAAATAATTCTGACGTTATTGAGGAATCTATTATACGCTACAAGCAAATTTTTAAAGACCATACGAATGAATTCAGTAGACACATGAGTAAGCATTTATCTGTTAATATATATATATATATATATATATGGGCTAAGTGCTGAGAAAAGGGACAAAATTGACAATTTTTTCAAAAGATGTTTTTTGCATAAATCAATTTAAAATAAGATTAAGATCATTTTTCACTGAAGGCACAAAAGTGGTTGTATTAATATAATTTTGCAGTATAGCTCTTTAAAGGTTGCATTTTCTTATGATTTATTATAAGATTTACAACATAAAAGAATTGATTTTTGATTTTCCGAAGATCTTTTTTTTGACTTTTTCTCGCCTAGTCCATATATGTTAATAACCTTCAGTTATAATAATACATATAAAAAATTTAAAGAATTTAAGTTACTCGGTTTGTAAAACAATGATTAAGCACGGTTATACAAAGTTTGATTCATAAAAAGTTTAAATATTATATATAATTAAAATTGTTACTTTTTTAGAGCAGTTATTTATGTATATTAAACCCATAATATATACGTACCATTACATCTAACTTGAATAAGCATAGATGTATGTATGTACGTAAGTACATCTAAAACTAAGGATATTAAAAGTCCGGTCCGGTCTAATTACGTATCATGTGTTACTTGGTCAACTTTTGATCTTATTAACACATACTCACAAATGTGATTAAATAATAGTTCGAGTATTAAGTACATGAAGGATATGATTTTTTATAATAGTTCGGCTACATGTATTGTAAGTGGGAACGGAATTTAAGTGGATTTGGAATTTCTTAATAAAATTATAATTTTAGGTAATTTTTAGTAGGGTAGTTATTTGACGTCTGGGCTGAAATCCATGTAGATCGCAAGATCAGGCCAACCTTTGTGTAACGCGAAATCGGATAACTCAAACTCTTGCCTAAGAAATCACCTTTTACGTTCTAATTAAAAACATTCCTAACCAATTTTTACTAATATATCCTTCCTTATCCCAAACCTAACCCTAACACTGGTCAAATTTCACAAATAAGTAAATCCGGGTAAATTTGCCCAGGCGCCAAGTAGATTTTCTCTTTATTTTATGTAAACCTACACCCTAATCCTAAACACCCTAAGAAATTCCAAATCTCTGTTCCGCTTGAAAAAATTTTTCGAATTACAATATTTTGGGATCCAATAGATGCGTACCTTTGAATTTTAAATATTATAAAGCGTATAACTTTATTTATAATAGGATATTGTTAATAAATATCGCAGGTTGCTATATCGCAGGTTAATATGATCGACCAATTAGATCACAGGATCTTGTGTAACAAAAATGA